TAATGCTAGTTAAACTGATTGGCCTATAGTTTGCTGGATTACTTCTATCCCCTTTTTTGAATATGGGTGTTATATTAGCATGCTTCCTATCTGAAGGTACCATTCCCGCAGATAATGATTTGTGGAATATTAAAGTTAAAGGTTGGCTAATAATATCCCTCATCTCTTCTAAAACTATAGGTAAGATGCCATTAGAGCCCTACGATTTATTTATTTTGAGTTTAGCTAGGCTTAGTATCACATCAACCTCAGTTATACATATATTGGTCATAGACAATGCTGTATTCGTACTAATTGGTGATAAGTTACTCGTGTTCTCTACTGTGAACACCCGTGAAAAATAATCATTAAACTCATTTACTATATCAATTTCATTTTCAATTATAAGGCCCTTACTATCCTGCAAATTAGTGATTTCAGCTTTTAGAGCTCTTTTGGAGTTAAAATATTGGAAGAAACTTTTATTATCATCCTTAGCCTCCAATGCAATTTTTCTTTCTACATCCCTTTTGGACAGTCTAATGTTATTTTTTTAACTCTACCTGTAGACTTAGATACTACTCAAAAATGCAAATATATTTAAGCCAAAGATGTTTTTTTTAAGATTTAAAAGTGTTCTTCAAAATGTAGGCTTTCAAGAAACAGCATCAAAGGCATCATTTATAAACACTTAATAAATTTTACAAACTTTATTAAACACACTGGGCATTACCTCGGTGTTTTAAGTCAGCCAGCCAACTGCAGGTGGCCTCTGCCGGCTTCAGGCCCATGGAGATCCAGGCCTCAGGCTAGCTGCTAATCCGCAGTACAGTCACTTGTGGTCAATCCTCTGGCTTCCATTCATCTGCGCAGCATGCAGCAAATACCTTTCGACCAATCAACAGACCCCGCTTATGAAAACCCTTTCCAATCAACTGGCTGGTTTTCATTTCACCATTTAAACAGTGTGACAGCATTATTTGATTTCTGAAAATGTATTGCTTCAGTGAAATGAAAATGAAATTTGGCACCTTTGATAATCTATCATTCTGATGGCATATTGGGTCACATGTAAATAAAGGGTGAACAAAGGTCATGCATCTCTAGTCAAAGGCTGAAGCTGCTACATTCATGATTTTTTTAGATTAAGATTAGGAGTGTTTTTTTGGACTCTGAAAGCAGTTTACAGGCCAATCGTAGCGAGCAACTCAGAGTTGCTGCCAAACACAAATAGGGAACATATGCAGAGTAAGTCACAGCCGCACTCCCATTCAAAGGAAACATAAGCTATACAAAACCTACTTCTGCAAAAAAAAACAAACGTTATCGCTTTGGCAGATGATAATCTGGAACAGATACCGGAGCGATGAAATAAAGCGCTACATAATTTACAGTGCGAATGCTAATTAGCAACCCATGGCTAACAAACTCATGAGCAAAGCTGATATTAAACAATTTAAAGAATTACGTCCATCATGGTGAGTGTTTTACCCTTTGCGTCTCAAGGGCAAGCATTTTTTTCAGAATAAGGTTGCGTGGATTAAATCAGCTTTTACTTTTAGCCTTATACTTCAGGTGGTGAACAGCTCGATGGTTTGAGTCCTGTCTTTGGAATAATAATCACGTGCGGTTGGGCCTTGAGCAAGGCCCCTAACCCCAGAATGCTCTGGGGATGCTGGGTAAATGGCTGACCAGCCGCTTGGGCCCAAAGCTTTGCTCTCAGCTGTGTGTGTCTCAAAGGAGACCATGATGGGATACGTGAGAAGAAGCTTTAGGCAAAAGAGGCATCATTTCATTGTATAACTCCACATCTACATTTGTCTAAGTAGTTTATCCATGATTAGATACTTCACTATGCTGGAAGTGAACCGGGATGTATGTGACACTTAATTAAACAGTTACTGTCAACAAAGAGCCCTGTTAATTACTTAAGAGGGCTACAGAATCATTCAGTACACCATAACTGGTGCTTATAGCTGTCTAAGGAAATGAATGCCATTTTCTCATGATGACATCTTGCTACCATCGATTGATGTTACCACTGAACATCAGCCAATTGATGTGGAAACTCATGACAACATGCTTTGTGTATTTTTGTTTATTTTTGGCTATTTTTATACGTTTCCATCAGCCATGCATCTTGCTTTGCCGGATTTTTGAAATGAGGTATGGTACACCATGGCATCCACCCAGCTGCTACGCAGGGGGTGGGGGGTCCCAGCAGGACAGAAT